TCCTTCCTTCCTTCCTCCTTCCTTCCTTCTTTCCTCCTTCCTTCTTCCTTCCTTCCTCCTTCCTTCCTTCCTTCCTCCTTCCTTCTTTCCTCCTTCCTTTTTCCTTCCTCCTTCCTTCCTTCCTTACTCCTTCCTTACTCCTTCCTTCCTTCTTCCTTCCTCCCTCCCTCCCTCCCTCTCTCCTTCCCTTCCTCCCCTCCCCTCCCATCCCCTCCCCTCTCCTCCCTCCCATCCCTTCTCTCTTCTTTGCCATGCCAGGAATTGAACTTTGGGTTTCACACATAGACAAGCACTCTATCACTATTCCTAGCCTTCATTTGTTTCCCTGATGATAACCATTTTGATTGAGGTAAGATGGAATTGAAAAGTTATTTTAATTTTTATGTCTAATGGCCAAGGATGTTGAACACTTTTTCAAATGTTTATTTTCCATTTGTACTTACTCTTTTGAAGCTCATCAATTCATTTCATGGCCCATTTTTTGATTGGAGGTTTCATATTTTGGTGTTTAATTTTTTCAGTTCTTTATATAGTCTGTTTATTAGTCCCTGCCAGTTGTATGGTTGGCAGACATTTTTCCTCATTTTGTAGGCTGTCTCTTCACTGTTGATGGTTTCCCTTGCTGTGAAGGAGCTTTGAATTTTATGTGATCTCGTTTGCCAGTTATTGTAGCTATTTACTGACCTGCTGGAGTCCTTCATAGAAATCCTGTGGCTATGTCCATATCAGTTCTGCTCTGATCTTTATTATTTCCTGCCATCTACTATTTCAGGATTTGACTTTTTCTTATGTTTTTAAATACTTTAAACTGTGTCATTAAATTAGTTGTTGTTGATCTCTGTGATTTCTTAATATAAGCATTCATAGGTGTAAACTGTCCTCTTAGAACTTCCTTAATTGTATCTCAAAGGCTCTGATGAGTAGTGCTTCTTTATCTCTGCTGACTGATTTTGGATTGAAGTCAAAGTTATCAGGTGTTAGAATAGCTATGGCAGTTCGTATTGGACTTCTAGTCACTTGATAGCTTGGCTTGCATTCTTTGACTTTCGATCTAAGTGCATCTTTATCAGTGAGGTATGTTTCTTGGAGATAACTAATAGGTGCATCTGGTTGTTTAATTGATCAGTCAGTCTGTGTGTCTTTATTGGTGAGTTGAGGCTATTTTCATTTAAGATTATTTTTGATAGTTGTTTGTTAATTTTTGTAATTTTATGGATTATTTTTCTATTTGGTTCCATTATTGTTTGTTCTTTTCTTTCTTTCTGTCTTACTACTATAGGGGTTTGCTGGTTTGTCGGACTTGGTGGATTCCTGTGTAACTTTTCTTTGTTCATCAGTTCTCATGGGTTTTTTGTTTGTTTTGTTTTGTTTTGTTTGTCTTTTTGAGACAGCATCTCCCTGTAGCCCTAGCTGACCTGGAACTCACTATGTAGACCAGGCTGGCCTCAAACTCAGAGATCTGCCTGCCTCTGCCTCCTGAGTGCTGGGATAAAAGATGTGAGCCACCATGCCCAGCTGAGATGTATTCTTTATTCCTGTGTTTTCATAATCAAAACTTTCTTCTTCTATATTAATATTTCTTTAAGCATCTTCTGCTGTGCTTGACTGGTTTCATAAACTATCTTCGTTTACTTGTCTTGACATGTCCTTATTTCTCTGTAAACTTTTTTTTTGAAAAATTATTTACTTTTTGTGTACATGTGTCTGTCTGCCTTTGTGAGTTTATGTGCAGGAACCACAGAGGTCAGAAAAGGGAACCGGAGTTAGAGGGACTTGTGAGCCACCTGACATGGGTTCTGGGAGCTGAACTCTGATTCTCTGCAAGAGCAGTTAACTGCTTATAACTGCTGAGCCATCTCTCCCTCCACCCCCCACCGCCCTGTCAATTTTTCTCAAAGGTAACTTAGCTATATAAAGCAATGTTGAATGGCGGGTGTTTATTTTCTGAGTTTGAAATTTATTGTGTCATGCTATCCTGACCTTTAGAGTGGCTGATAAGAAACCGGAGTTGGGTTTTCCCCTTTACGTCTTTTAATATGGTTTGCTTTGTGTGTTCATTTATTTATTTGTTCATTGGTTGACTGGCCGATTTGTGTGTGTGTGTGTGTGTGTGTGTGTGTGTGTGTGCGTGCCATGGCACATGTGCAGAGGTCAGAGTACAACTTGTAGAAGTCAGTTTTCTCCTTCCACTATGTAGGTCCTAGGGATCAAACTCAGGTTGTCAGGCTTGGCAGCAGGCACCTTGACCTGCTGAGCCATTTTGCTGGCCCTGCTTTGGGTTGTTAAGATCTTGACTATAATATGCTGTGGAGAGGTTCTTCTCTGCTCATGGCTGTTTTGAGTTTTTGATGCATCTTGCATTTGAATTTCATTTCTTTCTCTAGATTTTGAAAACTCTGTGCTGCAATTCATTGAGTATATTCTTCTCTGCCTTTAGTTTTCACCTCAGCCCCTCCTTCGACACATCGAGTCTCATTGTCTTTTGACTGCATCCCAGGATTCTTGGATGTTATAGTCATTAGGTTTTTTTTCTCTTTATTTTTTCTTTATTTCTCCTCTATCTTGTCCTTCATCCGTGATATTCTTTCTTGTGCTTGATGAATTCTGTTGGTTTTACTTTCCACTGGCATGTTTTAAGCTCTACTGATTTAAGCATGTTACTTTAAACATGTTTAGTCTAGAACATTATGAATTTCCGATTATCCTGAACATGTGACATATTAGACATTTTTGAAAGCTTAGCTTTCAAATTCTAGTCTGTGACTGGGAACGTTGTAGGAAATGTAGCTTCTTACTTTCTCTGAGTTAATATTAAGATACATCCAGCAATCCAGGTACACTCCTTTAGTCCTAGCACTCAAGCGGCAGAGGCAGCCTCAAACACACATACACAGTGAGTTCTAAGCCAACCAGGGCTACACAACAAGACCATGTCTTTTAAAATAAAAAAGATGCATCCAACATTGTAAGAAATTTGAATCTGGTGTGGGAGCAGGCCTGTCATCGTCTGCGGCCTGGGGGTTCCTCATACTGCCCCTGAGGCTTCCAGAGAAC